TGATCAATATTCGTTTAATTTGACACTCGTAGCATTTGACCTCACTATTTGACCCTTTTCTGAATTCCCCCTCAAGCTTATTCAGTTTTCTTTTACCTTGTAACACTCGAGAAAGTACGTTGTTATCAAGATGAAGATATGATCAAAACAAACAGTCGTGAAAGTTGAATTATTTATATTTTCTAAACGTTTAGTGACTAAATCAAAAAAAAGACGTCCATGACAAAAAGCGTTCACAATCTTGGGAATAGAGTTTTCAGCGCTCTGTCTTTTTTTATTTATTTTATTTATTTATTTTATTTTTATCTTTATTTTTATTTCTCCTTTAAAAAGGAAAATTATGCAATTAACAAAACTTACAAGCTTAACATAACATATGATAGTATCTTTAACCTCTCTTGGCGGGACTATTTTTAACTGGCTTTTCATATTAAACAACAAAATGTGTTCTTCCTATGAAGCGTGCTACCTTGCACGAGTACAATTTGACCAACGGCATGGCTATTTCAAAAACAAAAAAAAAAAAAAAAAAGGTCGAAGGGGCAACATTTGTTCATTGATTAATCCAAAATACAATGAAAAATAAAACAATAGATAAAAATGTTACAGTATGTATAAACCACACTAAAAATAAAGATGGAATATTCAGTGAAATGGATGGAAGGAACTGTGGAGTGATCCAGCTGAGTGATGAATTTTGTTTTAGCTAATCACAGGGCGTTTAGCTGTTTTGCGCCGTTCCTCATTCCCAGACTACAGTAACAACAGTCTATCACATACTGAGAAATTTAAAGTGCCTATCACCCTTCTGACAATATTCTCAGTACTGATTCTACATGGGGTAAGATGTTGAATAACCCGAAAAAATTACATAGTTTGAGTGCGGCTTCTTGAAGTTATGAAGGTTTTTCCATGTCATATGCTAATACTGTGATGTATGAGGAGTAATCATTTAATATACAAAACACTACTGGTACAGATAAATTCAATTTGAAATACGTCATGATTGTTTTGCCCATTGCTCTTATAGAAATGATTGCAAGCTAGTTTTCCCATAGAAGCCGGTGTTCCGAATTACGAGGAACAACAAATAACCATAAATGCCTCCTCATACGTCACAGCATTAGCATATGACATGGAAAAACCTTCATAACTTCAAGAAGCCGCACTCAAACTATGTAATTTTTTCGGGTTATTCAACATCTTACCCCATGTAGAATCAATACTGAGAATATTGTCAGAAGGGTGATAGGCACTTTAAGCAAAAGGGGGGTGACTACTCACCCCTTTTACCACCCCTGGATCCACCTCTGCAAGTGATATTGCACACGCACAACACACACATGCAAAACACACCCTACCCGGCCTTGGAAGGGATTACAAATGCATTGAAGAGATGAAATTATAATTGAAGACATTTGATTTTTTTTTTTCTCGTAAGAACTATCCGAGACTGGAACATTCTTCCTTCAAATATAGCTCTGATCCCTTCTATAGATAAGTTTTAGGATGAAATTGTAAAATATTTCCATTTTAGATATTATTTACTTATCTTTTAATTAGACAACAGGTGTCGAAGGCGCACTCAATTGCCTCCGGGTGATTGTCTCCGGCCGCAGCATACACCTTAATATTGGTGGGATGCTTCAGTCGGTTTGGTATGGTTTGGTGGGGTTTATAGTTTTTTTTATTACTATATATAGCTTATTATACAGTTGGTGTGATGCCTTAAGGCTTTACCGACTCAATAAAGATGATGAAGAGATTGAGCTAATGGCATAAAAAATATTTTGCATTTTTATAGCGTTTAGTAGGAAACAATAGGGGAGAAGGAATAAAGAAGAAAGAAGTGAATGAATGAAAGAATGAATGAATCAATGAACGAATGAACGAATGAACGAATGAACGACCGAATGAATGAACAAACAAATTAACGAACGAACAAATAAACAAATGAATGGACGAATGAGTGAACGAATGAGTGAAACTTTATGAATGAATAAATAAACGAAAGAGTGACTAATGTTAAGGGAAATGAAAATTAAAATATTTTTTTCCTTGATCATGTTAAGCATCAAGCCAATCCTCACTAAGTCAGCCTATATATCAATTCATCAATTTTGTGATATTGAAAAATATTCTCGAACGTAATATAATTTTATATAGATTTAGGGCGTTCATATTAACTCGTTCATTGTAATATAGCGGTTACGTTGACGATATCTGATTCTTCAAGGGTTTTCTTCAGGTTTTCAAGTTTCGTCCATCAAATTCTAATCCCATTTTACTAGATTATAATTGGATTCTTTGAGAGAAGAGCCACTTATTTTAACTTGTACTGAAGCCTTGATATTTATTTATTTATACTAACATGTAGTCGAACACGGAATCGGCCAATTATTCCAGTGATTCGTTCAATATAGCTTGTGATTTGTTATTTTTTTATCGCGTTTGTTCATCTCGTGTTATTTTATTTTATCCAACCGACAGTTTTATTATTTTGAATTGCAATATTTAATTTTAACGAATTACTGTCGGTTTAACACGACATGTCTCACTTATACTGGTGCACGATTTAGAAATTAGAATTAGTTAAAATTACAAACGCGTAGAAAAACTTATAACCGTGTCATACTTGAACGCGTGCTAACGGGTAAGTGTGTGATTTATTATTTCATTAGATGTGGTTGTCATCGTCTTCACTAGAAGGAAACGACCTGTAGCGAAAAGATGTTTCTTATAATGAGTCGAAGTACACGTTTAAACATGGCGACCTGACCGAGGGTTTATTGAAGCCACGATGTATGGCATGCTACTTGAAAGCATCCAGCATTACTTAAAAGAAATCTACGGTGAAGAGGTTTGGAATAAGATCCGTTCTTTAGCAGGTGTCGAGAATCGAGTTTTTGTCACGCATCATCGTTACAGTGATGATTTATTCCTCAAACTCGCTGATGGCGCTGTTGAAGTCGTCGGAAAACAAAACGGATGGAAGAAGAAGGATTTCATGAAATTTTTCGGAAACTGCTTCGTGAAATTTTTCTCCAATTATGGCTATGACCGCATTGTGCGAGTGACTGGAAGAAATCTTGGGGCTTTCTTAAACAGCATCGACAACATACACGAACAGATGAGGTTTGGGTACCCGAAAATGGAGTCTCCTAGTTTTTACTGTGAGGATGAAACGAGTTCAGGACTATCACTTCATTATTTATCAAAGCGGAAAGGATTTAAATACTATGTCATTGGCCAAATAGAACAAGTCGTTCGCGAGTTTTTCCCAATGGAAATTGAGATAACAGTAATTGGACATCAACAAACAGCGCACAACTCACATGTTATCTATCGTTTAAATTTCGACAACCAGTCATCGAAGCCTTTTATTCCTAAAGCACTGTCCCCTCCTGGGAAGACTATTCCCAAATGGCTCTCTCTGGATACTTTCTTCGAGATTTTCCCGTTTGGTTTTGTTATTTCTCGTAATATGAAGATAAGCATGGCGGGTTCGTATATTTTAACCATACTTGGAGACTCTGTACTTGGAATGGATGTATGTGAGGTGTTTGCTCTTAGAAGACCAAAGGTTGAATTCACATGGGAAAACGTAAGTGTGGGGACTGCATGATTTATTCAAAGTTATGAAGAATGATGTGGGCTGATATTTGTTTGTGATAGCCGAAGTGATTGAGATTGGGAGTGTCACGCTTGATAGATTAACTAAATTAAATAGACCTCTTTTAACCTGCGTAGCGGCCCAAAGGGAAGGGTATTGGGGACTGGGGAGAGGAAGAGGAGGGGGACTGGGGAGAGGAAGGAAGAAGAGGGAGGGCCTGCAATGAACCCCCTCCATTTTTCCTACCGCCCCCTAATTAATATACAAACTCTCAACCAATCAAATGAAAGAAACAAGGCATGTTTATTTTGATTTTGGGTTGCGCTTTATTTGAGGGATGCCAAACCTAAGATTATTTGATTTTACTTTGCCTTTATTTACTGCAGTTAACGTTATGGCTTGCTTTATACAATATGCAGTTTTCACAGTATTCATAACCAACCATTGAAAACCTTTTCGAAAATAGCTGCAATAGTTATTCGTAAGAAAGCTTTTTAAAAACCACATGAAACATTCACATTATATTAATGCTTGTCTATCTATGTTTTGAATATGTACCTATGGGTAATTTCCGACGGTAAAAACAAAAGAACATGTGAACAAAAGCATGAGTAAAGAGTAGATCATGCATGATGTACAAAATTTGTTTTGGCTTGGCATTTTCATTAAAAAATCAATATTTATCCTAATGTTGTTACAGCTGCAGAAAATTGATCTCTGCCGCTTAGCTCAAACACAGTAACCAAGGCGGTGTCTTCAAACAGCGGTTGGTTTGTGATATTAGGATTGAATTTCCGCTTTCTGAAATTGAGGAAAAGCGGTCACAGCAACACAAGGAATATTCTTTATTCTTGGGGTGCATGTTACGTCATAGACGCCATCTTGGTTGACGATAACGAAGCATTTCTGTTGGTTTGGGGTCATAGAATGATTGAATTTTGGTTGAGAAAACCTGTTCTGAAATTTAGGAAATGCGGTTGCCATACAAAGAATACAACGAATAGCTTTTATTCTTTGGGTGCATGTAACGTGATAGCCGCCATCTTGGTTGACGATAACGAAGCATTTCTGTTGGTTTGGGGTCATAGAATGATTGAATTTTGGTTGAGAAAACCTGTTCTGAAATTTAGGAAATGCGGTTGCCATACAAAGAATACAACGAATAGCTTTTATTCTTGGGGTGCATGTTACACCATAGCCACCATGTTGGTTGACAATAACAAAGCATTCCTCATTAACTTGTCTCGTTAATCCCAAATGGAAATGTTGTCACTCACTAAGATTAATAGAATCATAAATAAGATTCAAAGGGAAAATTTTGAAGATTGACTTAATTGTCATGGTTATGATGTTGAAAATGATGACAATGTTGGTGGTGGTGATGATGGTGATGATGGTGATGGTGGTGGTGATGGTGATGGTGATGGTGATGGTGATGGTGATGGTGATGGTGATGGTGGTGGTGATGGTGATGGTGATGGTGATGGTGATGGTGGTGGTGATGATGATGATTGGGATATGATGATGATGTTGATGATGATGGGGATATGATGATGATGTAATGATGATGATGCTGATGGTGGTGATGATACCGTTGATGACGTTGATTATGATGATGTCGATGAGTAATTAAAGATAACAATGACATTAATGCTTATTATTATTTATATTTTATGGGGAAAATAAAATTGATAACTTATAACTGGGAAATTGTTTTCATATTTTACAGCTACAAAGGAATCCAGTCGTCTTCGAATTAATCTCCAAAATCCCAACCAAACCTGCATCATCAACAACTTTTTGCAAAGAATGTCAAAGCCCATCCTTAAAAGAATACCCCAAATGTACCTTCATGAAACCCAACTGTGACGTCATCGACAGTGGTTACCATAGTGATTATAAAGGTTCAACTTGTCGGACAAAAACTGCCACATTAAATGGTGTTAATGTGCACTGTAATGGTGTGAAGAAGTGGAATGGTTTTACAAGTGCCGGCACTGAGACGACAGACGACGAAAATCAAAACGAAGTTGGAAAAAGTTATGAAGGTTTGGCCAATAAGGACCTTGTAAAAACAAAAAATGGTTTTAATTGTTTGTTAAAATCGAATGATAAGACAGGATTGTGGAGAAGCAAGGCAAGATGGGATCTTCATACAGCAAGCAAGTCTAGTCTTGGATCATCAGATACAGAAGGTGACGAAACGAGCGCCAAACGACAGCGCAGTCTTCACCTCAAGGGAGAAATGAAGTATATCTCTTCCTGGGGGAAGGTGCTTTTTGTGTGTTCACCTTTGTAAGTACGTATACATCTCTTCCTGGGGGAAGGTGCTTTTTGTGTGTTCACCTT